CAGTAATTATTATTATTATTCATGGATATATTTATTTATTGCAATAATTAATAATTTAATAATTAATACATACACTAAACAAAATAGCTCATTGATGATAAAGCCTTAATTAAGAAATATCGTATGGAGATTGAAGAATTAAAGGCACAACTCGAAAAAACTGGTACTTACAAAGAAGAGGAAATTTCTGTGATGTTGCAACAAGAAAGAGCTAAAGTAATGTTATTTATAATGTATATTTGTAATTTATATATAAAATTCACTCTAAATTTTTTCTTTATTTTTTAATAAACATAGTACGAAGAAAAGTTTGTGGAGATGGAGCTTGTTAGAACTGCATTAAAGAAGAGAATCGATGACCTAACAAGTTTGATTTTAAATAGTACTTCATTTGCTCCTTCATCATCACGAAAACCATCTAGTGATTCTGTTGTAGTTCCAGTAAGCAGGTTATATATATATATATATATATATATATGATTTTTTAGGTATTTAATTAATTAATCATAATTACCATAATTAATATATTCAGGCAATTGATTCAAGGATTGATGAGTTTGAAATGTTAATTGAAGAAAAAAATTCAAAGATTGATTCATTAACCTCTGAGATTTCTGAAAAAAATAAACTAATCGAAGGTTTGAAAAGACAGTTAGAAACATCAAAGAATGCTAACAACTCAGACTTACAATCAACATTGACAGAACTTGATGAAAAACTAAAAGACAAAGATGATGAATTGATGTCGTATCGTAACTTGGTAGAAGAATTAGAAATAATTGTTGAGGAGGACAAGAAGCTTATTAAAGAGAGGGATTCTAAGATTCAGGAATTATCAAAGATTATTGAAGATGATAAGAAATTAATTGATGAAAATAATTTAAAGATCAAAGAATTATCATCAAAGATTGAGGTAAAGAATATGACAATTCAGGAATTATCATCAGAGGTGGCAAAGAAAAATAACATTGTTGAGAAGAGAGACACAAAAATCAAGGAATTGTCATCTGAATTGACAATTAGAGATGCATCAATAAATGAAAGAAGCACTGAGATCCAAGGATTAGCACTTGAAAAGTCAAAATTAAGTAAAATTGTTGATGATGATAAGAGATTGTTACAAGCATTGTCATTGGATATGTCAAAGAAAAATAAGACTATAGATGAATTGAAAAA